TTAATTTTTTTTTTTTTTTTTTTTTTTTTTTTTTTTTTTTTTTTTTTCATCCACACAAGTTGGCCACCCGAGAGAGTTTCAAACTATATAAAAACCTCAAGCTCAGAGTATGTGGCCTGCATAGATACACACAAATATACGTGTAGGAATATTTGTGAGTGTTGGCTTAAATTACAGCCTCTAATGTATACACGCACTTTGTCCTTTTTTTTCTTTTCTTTTCTTTTCTTTTTTTTGTACTCGTGGAAGGCAATAAACTGTGGCAACAAAAAAAAGCTCCACTTTTCTGCATAAACGGTTTCAAGTCGGGATACCTAATTTCCATCCCAAGAGTAAAGAGACAAGGGAACAATATTTTTTACCCAACTGGCGCGGGCGGTAGCAGCTCTATACTTAATAGGAGCGACGCTTTTAATGCGATCACGTAATTTACAGTAACTCAACCGCATGTATCGTATGTGTATGTAAACCTATGCAGGCATAGCAGTAGTGAGGGCGACTGTGCTTTGAATTTGAAATAAGTAAGTATAGTGAGGTATAAAGGCTCTCGCTTCTATTTTCCTTTCCCAATGCAAAAATCTCGTCTAATCTAATTCCTCCTCTCGTTTGGTACATCTAATGCAATCGCATACTCCCGCGGTGCCGCTACACGTATACGCTTAGTAAAAGTGTGGCGAGAAAAAAAAAAGCAATTCGGGTCTCTGTATATGAGTGATGTTTGTTCGTTCTTATGCTCATATTTTATATGCATATTAAGAACACAATATACATATATATTTATAACGCACGTGTTGTATAGTGGCACGGGCGTGACTCTCCTCTATAATATCCGTGCCTATGTACGTATTGCGACTCATTAAAATCACGGTACATTACGGTGTTTATTACGTGCGCGCGTGCATACGTATATGATATACGTGCGTGTGTGCGTGTGTAATTAACAAGTAGCGGAGAGGAGATTAAAAACAACAATAGGGCCATAAATTTCGTTGCGTCGCCGGCTTCTTACACTTTGTCTTTTCTCTCTCTCCCCCCTCAATACATGTATGTATATGTATATATACACATTGTTCTTCCATCTTTGCCTGCTCCTCTTTCAACTTCTTCGTCTTCCTCTACACCAAAGATTTATTTGGTGTGTGCTTTAATAAACACACATTGAACATTGATATATTGTATCCCGTTACGTTGATTGCTCCTTATTAATTTTTTTTTTCTTTTTCTAGTGTATATAAATGTGTTGTTATAATTTTTGATCGACTTATACATTATATACCAGCAAGATCTTTTTCTCAAAAAGTACTGGGTGGGAAAAAATGTATAGGGTAACAGAGGGGAAAAAACAAGATAATAATTACCGCGCAGCTGTATATTCGCAGCGGCAGTAGTTGACGTTATTCAGTATACAGCACACGTGAGAGGGGCTAATATATTATTTTCTCGTGTAGTTGTGTATAGTATATTATACATACACGCCACACAGCGCGGAAGTTGATACGCGACGAGTTACGTGTACACTGCACGAGCTCTCGCTCGCGACGACGAGGACGACGGTCGCAATTTCTCGGGGCCGCTTTTCTCCCTCGCTGGTATATATGTGCATGTACATATACAGGATAGCTGAACACGTGAGGGATCCGTCGTACGTGAGATAGACGCGACGCCGAGATTTAGTCGAAATAAAAGATAAGCGGGAGAGAGCATGGGAATGCCTCGGGCTGGGACGTGATAGTCGAGAGGAATCGGGAATTCTTCGCGGTGCACTGGACGAGAGAGGTTTAATTAATTTATTGGAGGGTTTAAAACCAAAAAAATTACTTTTCATTAAATTTCGCTGATCAAAGATTAGAGATTGCACCGAGTAATATTTGGCGATTTTTTATTTTTTATGGGTTTAGCTTGTGTCTCCTTTGTACCTATACATGTTGATTTAGGGGAGTCTGTAGAACATTAAAAAAAAATAATTTCAAGTCAAATTTCGTACGTAAGGATAACGTGTATAGTCTAAAAGTCAAGTCTGGTATTTTTAATTTTTGGTTTTTTCAATGAAGGCTTTTTTATAGAATTTTTTTTCCAATGCATTTTCAAAATTAAAGTTCATGTATCGTTTGCCTAGTAAGTAGTATATGGTAGAAATTTCAGCAATAAAACTATAAAACTAAATCGTACTCTTTAAAAATAAAAACAAAATTTACGCCCTTTACACGAGATATAATCGAGGATTTCATGCAAAAAAAAAAAAACAAAAAACGAAGGTTCATACAAAAAATAAAAAAGTATTGGCATACCTGTACGTGCTTTCCTATAAATGTGACTCAATGATCGCGCAAAGGTATAGCAAAAGTATACATGGCATTTCTCGCGTGTTTGTTCTTAAACGATGCTCTAAAAAAATTAATCCCAGCCGCAGTCGCAAATTTAGTAATGGTACGCCGCAGCCGAGTTGACACCGCCAATAATACTGTACGCGTCAATCACGAAAAAAAAGCCGAGGGAAAGAAAAATTGAGAAAGAAGTTACGTACAGGTCGTGTATATGTGCGATAAATAAAGTATAAATACACGTATACTAAACTGTACTATTCAATTTCGCTCGCAGAAGTAGCGGTAGGACAAAAAAATAAAATAAAATAAAATAAAAAAAAAAACGCGCGACATACCGAAAAGACTGTCAATAGCATTTGCCGTCCCATAAATTTGGCGCATTTCTGTACGCGTAGAAAAATATATACGCACATACGTACATGTGCACCGATTCTAGTTATGGAAAAAGAGAGAGAGACAAAATACGACATAGGGGTTATAGGGGGTTGCAGAGAGCATGCGTCTATGAGAGTTATTTCGTACCCTCATAAACTCACGCACGTATGTCTATATATTTATACAGAAGTGATGGTATATATAGAAAAGAGCTTGACTCGTGTATATATATATACATGTATACACTACCCTCTTCCCCCTGCGGAGGCCACCCCTCTCGAGCGTATAGCGTTTCTGTATCCAATTTCTCTTTGTCGTCGGTTGACCGACGAGCGATTACTGTCACACGTTGACAGTCACGTGCGCGCAGCTGTTACATGTACGCATGTGTATACACGTATACGTATATAATATATATATATATGGGCTACATAAGCTCACATGCACTCCCTGATGATGGTCCGGTCAGTAACAGCGCCCCGACGGCCCTGACAATGCGTTTGCGCTGCGAGAGCCTGTATTGTGCTACTTACTTCCACTGCGAGTGTTGCACTGCATTGCGTCGTCGTCGTCGACACGATGCAGCCAATTATACACGTTATCGATTTTGCTTTTGGGACTATATATTTATATAGGTGCGAGTTGAGAAAGCGCACAATCACACGCGTGCTAGATTGAAAGCTACCGAGTATATACTTACTGGCGACTAAGTACATGGGTTTTAGGTCCAAATGTCGTATACTACGCTCGAGCGATTCTTCGAGGGTGTTTAAGAGCTTGGATGATGGTTCTTGCCATCGAGATGATTTTTTTTTTTTTTTTTTTACATTGCGAGGCTTACCGGAACCCTGTTACGGTACTTTGTGAGGGTTACAGTTTCCGTGCGTGTATGAGTTTGCTCAAGAAATATTCATTGTTTGCGACTGACGTACGTACGTGCATAATAATGTGTGCTCGGATTTTTTTGAATCACACAAATATGTCTCGTGCGAAAATGCACACGGGGATGAATTGTAGATTTTTTTGTCATTTCACTTTGTTGGGAGTTTGACACCGGTTGCTACGTGTAACAGCAATGTTGAAACATTTTTTCCTCATTTTTTAATTAGTGTTTCGTGTGGAAAAATTGATTTAGTTATCAAGGAAAAAAAAGTTTCACAATTATTATGGCCCCATTACTCATTCGGGAAACTTGAAACTCGTGAATAATAAATGCAGCGGGTGCATTAAAATTTTCATCGTGAACCTCGGCTACGTTGAAAGTGTTGTGCAAAGTCAACCACTTGAACAGTATACACATAATTAATAAGACAGCAAAATCTTCGTTAATACTCTAGCAAGTTATGTAATTAAAAAAGTATACATATATTATATTTACCTCCAAAAACATGTTGAAAAAAAAAAAAAGAAACTTTTTAAACGAAATATTGTATTTGCACTAATTGTATTGTTTGTTTGTTTGCAGGACGACGCATAACGAGCTGGAAAAAAACAGGTGAGTGTTTTATGTAAAAATATATGTATTTAATTGCCACTCTGAAAAATGTATTTTCCGCCCTCGGGTGGTTTTGGGAGGCTGGTACTTCCTCGGGCGAAAAAGCAGTTTTCCGATACTCGTTCGAAAAGTCTCCTTTTCCGCCCTCGGGTAGTTTTGGGATGCTGGTACTTCCTCGGGCGAAAAAGCAGTTTTCCGATACTCGTTCGAAAAGTCTCCTTTACGAACCTCGTTACGTCCCTCGCCTTCGGCTTGGGCCGCAAACCTCTCGGTTCGCAAACAGAGACTTTTCAAACTCGTAGGAAAACTACCATTTTTTTTTCCCCCAACGCGTCAACCCATCATTCAGATGAATGATTATTTTATTTCATGCCTCGCATACGTTTTACCATCCACAACTTTCGAGAAAGTGAATGTTTGACAATTATTTCCCTGCGTGTAATGCATCAACCTGTAACTCGTGAACAAGAATTTAATTTTTTCTTTTTTTAATTGAAAATATTGCAAGAAAAAAAAAAGGATAGAAAGCGCGGTTTCATGTGCGTTTTTCACGGTGTTATGGGGCGAAGAAAGGGTATACAAGTGGGCAGATGGATAATCGCATCTGTCGTTATACAGCATTAGACGCAAGCCTACGTGACGCCTCGGCTTGCTTGTTTAACTTGCGAAGGGCTGTCGCTCTCATCGACCTACCCACCCCCTGGGGTTATTTGCGTACGGACACAGGCTGCCGTGACGCTACTTGCAAAAATGTGCGCGCGCGTATCGTATACCTGTCTGCTTACTCGTATTACGATACATCTAGGTATACGTATATAATATAAGTACACACAGAGTCGACTAGTGCAAGTGGCACTCGTGCTTTTTTTTTTTTTTTTTTTTTTTTTTTTTTTAGAGAAAAAGAGAATAAAATAGAAGGCTATTGTATGTTATTTGCGTCTTACTTTTTTTTAGTTTTTCGTTACTGTTCGGTTTTGTGTTTCGATGATTGTTCGGAATGTTGGAAAGGATCGTTGCAACAGGTAATGGTCTTAATTTTGTTTATCGAAGCAATTTATATGTTTATATGCACAATGTTTCATAAAACTCGTATCTTTACGTAATTGTAGGTATTGTTTTACTTTGCAAGGTCACGATATCGAGCAAACTTTTTTTTTTTCGTCCATTTATGTAAGTTTACGATTATTTCTATACTGGGAAGCCTCTCCTCTGTAGCCCTTAGGAGTATTTTTTTTATTTTATTTTTTATTTTTCATAGCAGCTGTAAGAAAACACCGAGGGAAAAAATAAAAATCGATAAACCTCCTGATCTTTTGTATCTTATTTAAAATGAAAAAAAAAAAAAAAAATTCGGTAATTCAGCTTCATCGTGTTGTAAAATATGTATAGCCTTCTTTTGCAGCTGTACAGACAGCGTCGCCGTGTATATACTTACCATCGTCGCAGTCGTCGTCGCATCAGCGTTTACGCTCGACTGTACACCTCCTACTTTCTTGAAATTCTAACTGACTGACTTTATCATAAATTAAAGGGGACCAAAAGAGGGCGGAGAGGCGCGCCAAGTTCGGGCAAGAGTTCCTTCGCCGCTTCCTATACGTATATAGGTACAAGAGCCAGGCTACTCGCCTTTCTCTCTCTCTCTATCCTTTTCTTTATTTCTTTAGCTTCTCGGGGCGCCCTTTCGTTTTGCAAAACTTTTAATTGGCTCGCTGAAAGGAGCTGCTGCTTTCGCGGCCCAAGGAAAAATGCTGTAAATTAACCCCTCATTGTTCTCAACGTTGCTTATTATACTGTTGCGTTTCGAGAAGCCAATTGGAGCAAGAAAAAAAAAAGTGCTTTTCCCTGTGCGGTAAAAGCTCACGCAATCGTTGATTCGATCCGATCACCCCCTCCCCCCTCCTCTTTTTCCATCGTTATTAATCGTGCAGCGGACTCTTTTTGTATTTTTATTGCCTGCACCCTCGCGGCGGAGAGACAGAACTCGACTTTTTTTCTTTGTTTTCGTTTGCCAGCTCAAATAGCGAGTTGAATTCAATCACTTGGTCTACCTACCCTTGCACCATCGAGCGAATAAAACAATTAGGAGCTGCAGTAAAAGTGACGCAACAATGGACCATCGTGACCATGTTGACCCTATAGGGTACTGCCTCTATACGGTGCGGATGTAACTTTCCAAACGGCTTAATTGTACATAAAGGTCCAGGAGTTTTGCAGCCCTTCCTTATTGCATTCACATCCGTCCACTACGGCGAGTTTCTCGTGCATCAGAGTCCAGACAGACACAGATTTCTCGATTCGGTCCGCGTTGAAGAAATTTTTTCCCTCGACGCACGTATATCTCCGCATGGGGTTTTCTCCCTTCACCCTAAAAGGGGGGGGGGCTGAACGAGAAAACGGGAGGAGGGGAATGGTCCTGCACAGCCGGAATCGAGCGCAAAAATGACAAAACTGGTTTCGGTACCTAATATGTTATACCCTCCTCCTCTTCCTTCCCGGTTGCTTGATCCCGCCCCCCACCTCCCGTGCATTGTGCTCTTGTCCCAGTAAGTAAACCGGGAGTCGATTATATTTTCCTCAAACAACACCTATAGGAGGGACGAGGGCATCGCACACGCTACATCAGGAATTTTTCGCTCCACATACGAGCCGAAGAGCTATACAGTCAGTCAGCTGTGGCAATAGTTCCGACCCCGGTCAACATCTCGAACCCCAAAGCTCGCGACTTTCGTATACGTGTATAATCGGAGCGAGGGTGGCCTTAAACGCGCACGTGTGTAGGTAAATACCATATTCGGCTTTAGGGGTGGGGAAATTTTCTTTCACTAACGCCACGAGGAAAAGAGAAAAGGCACACCGAGGGGTGAGTTGCGGTGACGAGTGAACCGGATATTATATATATATCACACGTCAAGGGCACGCACGACCCCCCCCCCCATCTCTGCTCCCTGTGCTATAGGTGTAATATGCGTAACCCTGATATGTCGCCCGTGTAATTTACAAGTCGCTTATTGTCTCCTCGTTCGTTTCTCGTGTCTCAAATTACCGTCAGGCGTCACGCGTTTTTCCGGCCGAGGCTAGCTTCGATTCGAGGAAAAAAGTTAATCTTGACCCATACGAAAAACGTTTTGTAAATGACGAACGGAGAAAAAAAAAAAAAAAAAAAAAAGCGCATGTGTTACACGTATGAGGGCACCTTTCCCCCAATACATAGGTATACCTATCGATACATCTTCACCGGTTCTCTCCGCTTTATAGACATCACTCCCACGCTTTCGTTGTCGTCGTCGACTTTAATTGCGATCGATGCCACGTCGCGAAGTAGGTATACAACAACGCTCCCCTTCGTTGTATATGTATTTATATATACCCATGTACAATTCATTTGATACTCTTGTTGTTTGTCTCTGCTCTTGCTGATGGGTGTGTTTATACTTACTTACTCTCGGATACTCCAGGCAGCCGAGTCGAGCCGAGTTTTACATGCTCGTTGCGCTGTAGTTTGGGAACGGTAGGATCATCGGTACATTGCCTGACGTAGTAGACCCGAGCTTAATTTTGGACTTATGCTCATATAATATGTATTTGTGTGGAGTCGAGTGTAGGTATTGCATTGCGTTGCAGTTCTGTCGCGTGATTGAAGCCTTTTTATTTTGTACAAGGAAAATAAATTTACAGTGTAAAAATCATCCCGACTCATTCGTTCGCTACTTACCTGTAGGATGATAACAAAAAATGTTATATTTGAAACTAACGTAGAAATGTTTTATGGAATATTGTCTTTATGCGGCATCAAACGAAAAAGAGCTCAACTCACATTTCCAAGCAATGTAATTTACTTAAACAATAATAAATAATTTTAAAAAACCAAGCTCTATACGACTGCTTGTTTTAACTGTCAAATAATTGGTTAATATAGAAATAAATACATTTGACGAGCATGTAGAAAAAAAAAATCCTCCCCGGCGGGGAATCGAACCCCGGTCCTCCACGCGACAGGCGGAGATACTAACCACTATACTACCGAGGATATATATCAATGGTGACCCATAAGTACTAATATACGGGGTATAATAAAAAAAGAGGATAATTACAACTTTTTTCAAGTTTGTCATACCTACATGTGAACCACTGAAATTCCAAAACATTAATAATAAATTATGAAATACTCTTTAGCAAAGCAAAAGTGTCAAAAATAGCCATCGGGCGTACAAATTATAACGAAGCTAAGTAGATTTGGTAATTTTTTTCACGACGTTATACTCACTCGCACAAATAACATCCATATAAATGTATGTATAAACAGGACGTACTGACGCTATTGTAACACGCATATATTATACACTCGATGCTCGTCGGGAGTCAAAGTAGCATACGTCGTTTTCCAGAAATTTATTTCATCACTGTATAATGGGCCAGATGCCAGGGCGAGTGTTGTTGCTGTGCTTTACGTTTTGTTTCTCTCTCTCTCTTTTTTTTTTTTTTTTTTTGTTGTCTTCCCCTCCCTCTTCTCACTCGTTTTTTGTCTTTACTCTCGCTCGGCTTGCCCCCATAAAAACAGGAGCTCCCATGCTGTTGCCGCTACTGTTCCTACTGCTACACATGCACATAAATACACACGCGCATAGGCATAGCTACGTGTAGTATCGTGTATATGTATGCGAATGTACAGTGTGCCAGTGGCCATTTAGGGCTTATAACTCTCGGAGAAGCCCGGAAATTACCTTGTTAAAAATTACGCCGTCATAAACGATGGAGTGCTGTTGGTGATGTACATGTATATTGCACACGTATACGCACGTTCCTCCGTTGCGAGAAATGCGATTGTGTGTATATTATATACGGTATAAATATATAGGGTGTCGGTTTAGCGTATCATACCATATAGTCAAAGAAGCTGTGCAGGAAAAGAATAATAATAGGAAGAAAAAAAACCCTGATCATATTGTTCGTACATCGACTCGTTTCTCCTACGAATCGAATCGTCTGTATATCCATGCGAAGGGAGGAAATGACGGAGCTACAGCGCAACAGAGAGAGAGAGAGGGTGGACAAAATAATTGTTAGCATGCACGTAGGCAAGAACTCACCAATCGGAGGTAGTGCGTATATTATAATATATAAAACAGGGAAGAAAACGAAAAACTGGTAGTTCACGAGCGACGAGATTCTAGGAATACAACATGTGGGCAGTAGGTATATAATATGCGCACACTCGCGTATACATCACAAGGGGCTGGTGTGGGGTTGATGGGGGTGTATAGCAAAGAGTTGCATGTATGGGACGACAACGGTGACGTAGGGGGGCGCGCGCGCGTGCAGCACACTCGAGAGGAATCTTAACTTGGTCGCGCGGGGACGCATTGATTTTCTTTTTTTTTTTTTTTTTTTTCCTCCTCGTTGCGTGCAAAGGAGCTGCGTGCCCTATACTCTCCATATTTCTGCGCACAGGGTCGGTCCTCTCTACGCGCTTTCGCGGGATAAAGTGGAGCTGTGGACTCTTGGCCATTGCGCACAAGGGTTGGTGGACATGGATTTTGTTACATATACGTATTGTTGGAACGTAAAAGTTGCGGGAGAAAGGCGCGACTCTTTCGTTGTATACACGGATGCTGTTCATCTGTTGGCGTGATTTAAGAATCTCTCGATGGTAAAAACCATTTATAGTACCGCGCGTGTTTTAATTCAACTTTTTCGTGCGCGCGCTCGAGGAAAACTTGAAATAATCGTGACATTTTTTTTACCCCCTTCGCGAAACGAGACACGTGCAAGGGGTGCAAAAACTTGCTCTCCCTCGCGTTTACTTACAGCGGGCACGTGTAACCTCTATACTCACACAAGACGCACACTCTTATTGCACGAGCTGTACGTATTACATATATGTACATACATGTATGGAGTAATATGCAAAGTCCAAGTCACACACGTTATGTAACGCAACCTAATGTCCCCTACTCCTCCCGACTCTCGGTATTAAAATTTGTATAGGTGTATAGCATTGCGGACGCGTTTATAATATGTTGACGGATATACCTATACTTGTACCATTATATCAATCCTCTGGCTCTCTCGATATTTTTTTTTTGTTTTTTTGTTTTTTCTACACATGCACATACACACACACATATCTATACAAAATACCCAATGTAATGTGTCAGCTATTGTTGAACCGAACGGCTGATCCTCGTGCCTCGCCTCGTTTTTCAAGAGCGACGCCATTCCCTCTCGCGTTGATATTTGTTTGATTTTTCTCGACGGCACTTATTGCGCAATAGCCGTATAGACAATCGTGTCGTGTCATTTGCATTGGGCGCGCGTTCGCCTATTGCGTGATTTGTTGTTCGCGTATGCAAATAAATTATATTGCCTCGTGCCTTTGATCATCTCGAAAACCATCGCACGCGATCTTATCTCAATAATGTTTATTGCCAATCGAAAAATACATAATAATAATAATAAATAACAACTGAAAATCCACATTACGCGCAACAACAAAATATGAATCGCAGCTCGTGAGAAGCGATACTTACTGAACTCGATGAGGAAAAAAAAAAAAGAGCAGCCAGCAATGCTTTTATCCTTCCGTGCCCTTAGCAATTAGGTAATACGTCGCGTTTGCGTCACACGCGTGCACGAGGTAGCCGCATTAACTGGTATATAGTACCTACTGCTCCAAGCTCGTTGTATAGGTACACGACCGCGTTTATTTTTTGCGAGTCACTGAATTTTTTTTTTTTTTTTTTTTTTTTTTTTTTTTGCAACCCAACCCTTTTTTGTCAAACACGCTTTCTGTATATACTCAAGAAAGGTATCGAGAGCCCCATTTTTTTCTTTTTTTTTTTCTTTCCCCTACGACAACCACTTCTCGCCGTAGTCCTTATATTATAGTATGCGCACACTCGCGCGCCTAGTTATATATATGCCTATACTTATAATGAGTCGTGATGACGAGAGAGATCCTTTGTCCGCGTTTGTTCGGCGTGTGTTGGCAACACGTGTGTGTATGTCCATGTACCTTCATTGAGCCATTTTTTTTTTTTCTTTTTTTTTTGCGCCATTAGGAACCCGTCGTTGGTTTGAAAATTTCATTTTCCTCCACTATACAAATGGCTCATCGCACGCGTGACTAAGGCGCTTTTCACATTGAGCCGTTTATAGATATACCCATACTAACGGGGATATGTCTATACACTAAAGCTTCACGGATGAATGGAAAAAATGTTCCACGACCGACGGACGTTTATTCTCACTCGGTAGGTACGCAGTATGACATATATTATAAACGTGAAACGCATTTTTGTCGTGCGATATTTTAACACGGATGAGTAGCCGGCAGGTATTACTATGCAAATACTCGAACTGATGGTTGTGGGAGGAAAGAAGAGGGGGGGAGAGGGGAGGTGTCGGATTTTAAGTTGATGTAAACCCGATTGGCGAACTGAGCTTTTGGCTGGAATATCACGTGATTATCTTTTGGATGGATTTTTTTTTAAAAACCACGTTTTTCGTTAACTTTCATTTTTGTATTCATAAAGTGTTTGAATAACAAACAAAAAAAAGAAATATACCTACATATTATATACAAGAGGAAGGGGAAAAAAAGAGTAGGTATGTAAAAATATGTAGGCTCGCAAGCACGTTAATGATCAGCTCGAAAAAACCCAATCGCGCCAATGGAGGCGTAATGGTTTGCGAGAGAAGAGAAAAAAAATGTATTCCCTATATAAAGGGAGAAATAAAGACCCTAAGCTCACGCGCGTGCATGACTATATACATGGGTATACTTATGTCTACAACAATGGACGGGTAGTAGCGCATGAGCGTAGGTTTTTTTTTTTTTATTTAGAAGCGCAACGTGCGCTCCCTATTCCTCTGGACGTTCTGCATATGTATACTCATATATGTGAGAACCCCTCAAGCGTGCATACATGTGCGTACGTAATACGGGGTTGAGGATCGAGGACGATTCGGTGCTTTACTTTTTTTTTACGGGCTTGGATTTTCGAGTAATTTGAGAAGATGATTCGGTGTATGGCCACCCGATGGTGGGAAAAAAAAAAGCCGATTTATTGGAGTCACGCGCTGACGGGCTTTTTCGCCCTTTGATATTAGTTTACCTACTCTCCGTCCGGGTTATAAATTTTTATTCGACTCACGGGTTTGGGACTTTGATATGTTTATCGCCACCGAGCGAGTATAGGCTACCGTGGCTTTTCCCTCCCGTGTAAATATGTATACCCCCCGAAGCTTTTGTTCCCTGTTTTTCTTCTTTTTTATCGCTGCTTAAATATATAGAGAGAGGGGATTCTCCTTGCTCGGGTCCATAAATCCTCTTCTTTGCCGGACAAATAATCTCCGGGGATTTTTCGCCTAATGTGCCGATTCATGGGATCTCTACTCTCTGACCCCCCCAGCCCCTATTTATTTTTTATTCAAATACAATTTGGACACGGGGAGTAGAAAAACAAGGTGTGTTTTTTGTTTCCAAGTTTCCCTTGCCGCTCGATCGTGATTGACGCATCAGCGACGCAACGTAACGGGTAGGACGCGCGAGGGAGAGGAAATGAGGGTTTGACCCACTTTCTCAAGGCTGCTCGGCGTCAACCCTCGATTTTCCAGTTGCAATGACGCGTCTTTCTCTCCCTCTCGATTTCCAAGCTCTAATTTTCGCGCTTTTTCCTTGGCTTTTAAAAGCCAACATCGTTACAAGCATTGGTAACCTCCGCCTTGACTCAATCCTTACCTTCTCGTTATGCGATACCCTTATATACATACGCTCGATTAATTTGCAGAAGAGGTATACATGTATATTGCGAGGACAAAGCGTGTGGGGGTTCGCTCGAGTGTGTTGCGTACTAATTGCAGATTCCCTGGGCTTGGCTCGCAGAGCCGGGCACGCGTGAATTTTGAAACTTCCCCGAGTCACGTAAATCCCCCGGAATTAACTCCATACGTGAGGACCGCTTGGATTTCGTCTTCTTTTTCCCTGCACCGCTCTGACGCTCTTCACCTGGGATTTATGGTAATGTG